GGAGCCTTCTCTTCTCCAGGCTGAACAGCCCCAACTCTCTCAGCCTGTCCTCATAGGAGAGGTGCTCCAGGCATCAGATCATCAAGGGGCTGGCCAAATGGATGCCCACAGCTGCTGGGGTAGGGGATCCCTGCCAAGGTCCCAGCCTACCTGGCCACGAGGCGTCGAGCCTGTGTCTGCTGCAGGCAGAAGTTGTGGTCGAAGCCATCCAGGCGAAACTTCTGCAAGTGCTTCCCCAGCTCCACGGGCTGCCGGAGATCGAAGCCAGTGCCCTGCACGGCAGCCACCTCCCCTGGGCAAGGAGAACAGCAGCGTCAGCCGCTCACCCACACGCAGCAAATACCTGCAGCACTAGGTCCTGCGTGGGGTTGAGATCCCTCGTTTTGGTGAGCTGAGGGTTTTAAGCCATTTGTGATCCTTGTCTCATTGCAGTGCCCTGCTTGGAGCAAGCTTGTGACCACTGTGACTCAGGCTGGGACATCAGCACCTTGTTCCCCAGCAGAGCTGGCAGCCCCAGGGACACTGCTGTGCTTAGCTGGGACAAAGCAAAGCCAAGGAGCCAGAAAACAAGAGGGAGGGCTTGTATTTTATAAGTATAAAAGCTAAACAATATCAAACCAAAACTTATTAGCTATTAATATTTATATATGCATAAGATTTATTTACATACACTATCTCTGTCTTTCTCTAAATAAATTAATCCTCCCAGATCTCCAAACAAACATCCATGAGATGGCCTTGAAGGTGGCTCACCTGGCAGGACATGGGTTGTACACTGGGACGGGCGCCCTCCTGCCTCAGGGCATTGTTTCAGGAAAAGAAGGTTGAAGACCATAAAACCAGCATCTTCTCTCAAGTCTTTTTTTGAGGCCTGACGTGGGGATGCAGCACCCTGCGATAAAGCTCTCGCAGTGAGAGCATCCCTAAGACATACTAAACACAGCCATCCCAACCCAAAGGCAAGGGGTTTTGTATGGGGGAGGTAAGAGAGGAAGGGCAGGGGACAGGATTTTGCCCTGAAGTCACATTTTTCTGTCTCTCTAAAGGCAGAGGTTCCCAAGGGTCAGCAGGCAGCTGGCAGTGTTGGGGATGGCGGGGTGCGAGCATCCCGTCCCCGCTGCCGGTCCCATGCGCTGTGCTCTGCTCGCTGCAACCACGCACCCAGCTCGGCTGCGGCTTTGCACCAGTTCTTCTCTGCAAACCTTGAGAAACATCAGTCTCCACCTGACAAACAGCACATTTCTGTGGCTTCTGATCCTATCTGAAAGGAGCACTTCTACTGAATTCAGCCGTGGGGCAGAAAAACACCTTGAAAAAAAATTACCCATTTTGATGTAGGCACTTCAGGTAAAACCCAGCAGCCACTGCACACAAGGGCTCTGTCTTTAACAGTTGCACAAATCTCATCTTCAACCCAGGGCTGAGATGGTTTTATCAGCTTCAAAGGCTACATTTACCCGAAACACCAAGAGGGAACTGCAAAAAGGAGGGGCAGTGAGTCAGCCGCGATTAAGATGTGCAACAGCTCCAGGGTGAAAGCAGCGGGGAGAAGCAGGGCAGTGGGTTTGGTACGGCCCTAAGCACTTCCCCAGCTTGAGCCCAGGCTTGACACACCAAGCTGAGCAAAAACCACCCGGACTGGGGGACTCACTCCTCCAGGTGCAAGCAAGCCAATGCGTGCATGGACAGTGGTTTTTGTTCATGAACACAGACTTAACTCTGCTTTTAGCAGACAGCTGAGCTAAAAAGCTTCTTTTCTTTTTCTTTTTCTTTTTCTTTTTCTTTTTCTTTTTCTTTTTCTTTTTCTTTTTCTTTTTCTTTTTCTTTTTCTTTTTCTTTTTCTTTTTCTTTTTCTTTTTCTTTTTCTTTTTCTTTTTCTTTTTCTTTTTCTTTTTCTTTTTCTTTTTCTTTTTCTTTTTCTTTTTCTTTTTCTTTTTCTTTTTCTTTTTCTTTTTCTTTTTCTTTTTCTTTTTCTTTTTCTTTTTCTTTTTCTTTTTCTTTTTCTTTTTCTTTTTCTTTTTCTTTTTCTTTTTCTTTTTCTTTTTCTTTTTCTTTTTCTTTTTCTTTTTCTTTTTCTTTTTCTTTTTCTTTTTCTTTTTCTTTTTCTTTTTCGTTTTCTTTTTCTTTTCCTTTTCCTTTTCCTTTTCCTTTTCCTTTTCCTTTTTCTCCTTTTCCTTTTTCTTTATGCCCCAGACCAGCTGCTTGGTGCTCCCATCAGTATTTTGTCCTCCCAAGACCTCCAGCACAGTATGGCACAGCACTGTCCCACCACCCTTATCTGCCATGGCTCAGCAGCTGCACTCCCCAAACTGGTTGGGCTGGGTGAAAAGCCATAATTTAGGAGCAAATCTAAAAGTCCACTTTTTGGACAATTTTAATCTATTTTAGATTTTTCAAAAGTTAAGCCAAATGCAGCTTTTTTTTAAAAAAAATCATGCTTTTCATTCTTAAAAACAATAAAACTTGGTATCAGATTAATTTGGCAATTAGATCAACTCTCACTGCAACGCAGCACAGTCACTTATGCTAAATCGGTTGGACTCAGTGATCTTAAAGGTCTTTTCCAATCAAAATGATTCTGTGATTCTACAAAAAGCAGGTGGAGGGTTGGAGTCAAGCCACCCAAAGCAAGGTGCCCCCTTGTTAGGAGTGGGACCAGTGTTCAGTGCTGGCTCTCCCATGAGTACAGGGAATGTGTTCCCTGTCCCAGCTTGTTCAGATTATTTAATTTAGCGGCTTGATTGATTATGGAGAGGAAGAGAGTGGAAGTGGTGGAGGGAAAAAAAAAAAAGAAAACTAGAAAGCCTCATTTTCTCCTTTTTACCCCCTGAATCAAGACCAGGCACAAGAGGCTGGCAGCTCGTTTCTCTGCACTGAGGCTGGAGACAGCAGCAATGCCACCTTTGTTTAATTAACCTGTTTAGTATGCAAAACATGCTGCTTTCCTTAACTGGCTTTCCTCTTTTAGCCATGCAGGACATTACAGGAAAGAAAAGTGTTGGTTTTGTGTCTTCAGCCTCCCAGCCAGTAGTGCCTGTCCCGATGAAGGGACTGATGGCTCAGCTCTTGCAGGGAAGGGTGATGCCGGGCTCCCGAGCACCAGAGATCCCAGCAGCTCTAGATCTCAGCGTTAAGCCTGAGATCTACCCTCCAGATCAGGGAGTCTGACCACGTCCTGCTGTGCCATCCCATTTATCAGCTGCAGTCCTGTGCTGGGAGCGTGCTGCTCGCACCTCCCACATTTTACTGGGGGTCAAGAAATGAATTCTTCCTGCTTTCTGTGGACTTTTAACATGGGCTGATCTCATGAAAATAAGATCTGTAGAAGTAAGACCTTGACACCACATGGAAAATCCCAGTAGAGAAGTATGATAAAGCCGAACATGGCTGGAGGAAGCAAAGCAGGCAAACCATAGGCCAATCCCAGCTCTGAAAGTGCTGAGTGACTCTCTCTGGTGGCCCCACCGGTCCTGGGAACCTGGATGGGCCTGCAGGGAAATGCTAGCCAAACAGGTCTGTAGGGACATGCTTTGGTGCTGTCTCATGGGTAGCTTGTCTCCTGGATGGGCCCCGTGGACCCACGTTGCAGCCTTGCATCCCACTGGCCTCTGGCCCCATCTCCTGCTGCTCCTTCCTGCACCCCCTGGATGGACCCTGGTTCACCCCCTCTCCAGATCTGGGGCTGGTGATGGACTCTGTTACCAGCACCTGGCTCTGCCCACTCTGCTCAGCTGCTATGGGATAGTGCCTGTGTGAGTGAGGGCCCTGCTATGCCTGGGGTCCCCTGGGCCCTGGTGTGTCCCCTCCCTTGCCAGACACTGCTGTTCCCCGATACCCACAAACATCCATCTGTAAAACCCTCTCTGCCACGTGCCGCGGGTGTCGCACCACCCACCGGTAGGGATCTTGGTGTCGTCCACAGGCAGGTAGGAATCTGCTTCAATAGAAACCTCATGGTCGTAGATATCCCGTGAGCCCTGCAAGAGGATGGGAAATACTGGGATCCCTTCTGCAGCCCTTCCATCATTCCAGCAGCCCTAAGGACACCTGGGAAGTCACTGCCCATGGTGGAGCTACAGCTGATCTGGTCGTGCCTGGAGGACCTCCTGGTCATCATCCCACCTTGACACTGGGCACAGGACAAAGGTACCCAGCACTGGCAAAAACCCGCATGGGACCTGGGAGCTGTAAAACCTGTAAGGCTGAGCCTATCAGTCTGAACTTGTACCTCACCAAGGACTACCATCCAGCAGATCAACTAGCCAAAACACACCGGTTGCTGAGCACACAGTGGCGGGCAAAAGGGGAAGGAAGCAAATTTGGGGAAGCACAACTCATCCTCCTGGCTCAACTCCTGCAGCACAGGGGGATTGTCCTCCTCTTCCTCTCCTGCAGCCTTAGGGATGTTGGCTGGGAACAGCTGGGCTGGAACAGGAGCAGGATCAGAACTGAGCCTGCACATCACTGTCTAATCTGAGCAGCAATTTCTTGAGCAAAGGTGTCCCATCTGGAAACACGCCCGAGCTGCGTGCTGTGGGTGTTGATATTACTGTGCTGCTGGGAAGACAAACAGAGGGTTGAACTAACATCTGTGCAGCCATTATGAGGGCAGCAGCCTGAGCAGGCCTCCCGCGTGGACGGGCTGGGACGTCACTCACTAACACTTTCAAGGGTCTTTGTCTCACATCCAAGTGTGACTGCACTGTCCCATCCTATTACTCTGCCCAGGAACATTTTATTTCCCAGATCCTTTTCCTCCAAGCCCAGTTTATAAACATGGTGAGATTAAAACATGGTTGCAACACAGTGCCCATCTAGCTGGCAGGACCCTGGAGTGGTGTGTGGGAGCTCTCTGCACCCTGCTACTGCCTCAGTCCACAATCCTGGCCATCTCACATCTCCTTTCCATGATCCTTCTCCTCCCTGCTGTGACACAGGTATTTCAGTGCTGTGCTGTTTCTGGCACTACAGGCCCTGATCTCAGCTGCCCCATCCACACAAGGGTTCAGTACATTGTCTCAGAAGCACCAAAAGAAGACAGCTAAGAAACGCTGGTCCATCATTAGGGCATGCCAGGTCTGCACCTTCTCTGTAATCATCCCCAGAGACCAGGAGAGACTGAAACCCCCCAGTTACACACAAAAGGAGAGTTAATGTTCATGATGGGATGTCTCTTTTCACTGGGATAATGCATCCTCAGTTGAGGTCTGTGTGATTCAGTCCTATCCCAGCTCATAGGCTTCATGCAGCCCACGATGCATAGAGACAACCCCCATTGCTGTGTCCCCAGATCAGCATGATGATGATCATCATCATCATCACTTCCCATTGGTCCCAGTGATCCCATGGGAAGCCCACGGATCATCCCATGGGTCCCCAGGCTATCTTCCCCTGTACAGTGTCCCTCCATGGGGTTCATCTGCCCCTGCTTACCTGCCCTGCCAGGTTGAAGTACGCATGGTTTGTCAGGCTGATGGGTGTTGTCTTGCTGGTCTGGGCTCGATAGTTGATGGCCAGCTCCCTGCCACTGAGCGTGTAGGTCACCCAGACTTTCAGGTCACCAGGGTAGCCTTCTTCACCGTCGGGGCTGAGCCGGAAGAAGCAGACACCATTTGGGAGTACCTGGGGGCTCCAGAGAACCTGCAAGGAGTGCGCTGTTGGTGGGACAGTCATGGGAAACACGGTGCCCTTCTCTCCTGCTCCAGACTGGGCTGAACCCAGGGACAAAAGGTACTCGGGGAAGGATGCAATGAAACAAAACTTTTTTCCTGCTCTTACTCCTAGAAAGGGGAAAAAAAAAAAAAAAGCTCAAAAAATCTTTTTTCTCCCTATGAAGGACTAAAAAATAAAAAAAAAAATAAAAAAAAAGGAAGTGAAAGAAAACACAAGCACCAGCCTGCTCTTGGTCAGCCAGGGCCACCAGCAGGGAACAAGTTTTCCAATGAGCAGCCAAACAAACGAGGCAGTTTTCTCTGATGAGGAGTCTGTCCCACCCTGTGTTATTGCTGGGCTGCATTAAGAGAAGCGTGTCCAGCA